ATCGCAAAGACATATTCAACATATTTTACCACAATTTATGTCAACCATTATCTTACCTGAAATTTGATCATCATTTCAATACCAAAATCTTCAAAACTAACAAACAATTCAATCAATTGAGACAATAATGACATTTAATACAAAAAATCATTAAATTCTTATTAATTAAATGATTGAATGGAAAAATTTAATATGAAATAAAAAACATAAGTTTTGTCACAAAAAAAATTAGTACATAAACTACTAGGAAAGGCCTACTCGCGATTAAACGCCGGCAACTTAATGCCTACCGAACCCATACGGTTAGGATCTTGGGAGGGGTAATGGATCTGTTGATTCAGTGCGGGGGCGCCTATAATAGGCGGCGCCAACTGCGGTATACTAATCGTCGCCGAACTGGAGGGTCCGGCACCGGCTAACCCGAAATAGTCGGGTGCGCCCACTGGTAAACCAGGCACCGGCGCCAACTTCGACGCCTTAACACCACCACCACTACCGCCCGCCTCCTCGCCGTCGGGGCCCACACCCGACCGCTTAGCCTGCGATTTACCCCACCTTATCGTCAACTTCTGGCCGTGAATGACGAGCTTCTGGTAGGACTTGTCGACCGCCAGTTCCGCCGCCGCCCGAGTCGTGTACTGAACGAACGCGCAGTTCTGCCGGGAAATGGATGTAATCGTACGGATCTCCCCGAACTGGTAGAAGTAGTCGCGGAGATCCCGTTCCTCGATCATTGGGCCCACGTTTCCCACGTATATAGTGGTGATGGACTTGTCCTCCGGGGCGATGGGTCGGGGTATCTCTGAGGCCCGTTTCAGTAGCTTCTCGGCCACGGGATCGTTGACACCGAAGTACCGGTCTTTGATGTTCTGGTCGCTGAGGGGGTCCTCCGGGTCGTTGGGCTTCTCGTGCCGATACGGACACTCATCGCCTCTCTTGCACTCGCCTTCGCGTGGATCACATGTGAGACACAAACAGACAGTGAATTAGTTTTCAATACAAACCACTCATTTCTGGCACTAATTATCACTAATGAGTGGACAGACAGACAAAAATCGGCCATACCTTTGACCCAAAAGCTGCAAATATGCGGTCTATTCCTCTTATAATATGGCGAATTGCGGGCCAACTTCGCCAAAACGTCGGACGGCGGCGCCGACTTGAGAGCGCCGTACGCTTCGGTGGCGTCGCTGTTAGCGACGGCTATATCCAGATTCTGACTGAAGTACTCGCGATTGATGTCCGATTTCGGTATCTCGAGCTTCGTCTGCAGCAACTGGTCCCTCACCTGCACGGGTAGGCCGTACTGGAGGTCCAGGAGACACGTCTGGCAGATATTCTTAGCTCTCGCGCACGTCTGACAGATCTCCGTCTTCTTGTAGCGCATCTTAAGGCCGGGACACCAGCGGAAGGTCGTGAAGGGACGGTTGCAGACCTTGCACTGCGCCCCGAACTTCTCGGTCATGATCCGCATGTAGGGGTTGTCACCTGTGGAGGGCAGAGGGAGGTAGTGGTGAGTGAGTG